TATATTGCGCGCGATTTAATAGCGATTTAATAGATTTAATAATCTTTTTAATCTTGCACATATGTAAAGAAGATAAGAACATAACCCACCCGAATTTTGGCAAATAAGAAGAAATCAACTTATTTCGTATAACACCTTACTTACATACCTCATCAAAGTGACCAATATTGACCACTTACCTCGTCGTATTCCTTCGTCGGGCCAGATTGGACTTACCATTCGTTGCTCCTGGCCATACAGTCTGATCATTTTGATCAGAGATCAGGAAGGAAGAAAACTCCTTCCATAGTCGGTTTATTATCGTCACCGACAAATATTTCATACGGTTCGAACTATATGCAAGTGTCGATCGTATCGAAATGCACGACCACGAGAAGTTAATTAAAGAAGAGAATTAATTAAAAAATTTTTCTGTATAAAACTACTCACATATCTTTATATTTCCGTTATTTATTTGAGAATAGATAATGACTGTCTCTTCGTGACTTGATCTTTAAATTTAAAATTCAAGTATATAGAAAAAAAATTTACTTCGCGTTATATTTATTTTAATTACATTCCGCGATAAATTTAAATTTATAATACTAGAAATGACAAAACGCGCGCTTCGCGCGCGCAGTTTGTGGTTGAGCATTGTATATTATTAAGATTTTGTATACATGCAAAGAAATAATTGTATGCGTAACTTCAATTTAAAATAAAAAGTAATTTATCACTCACTGATACGATTTGCAACAGCAGAGTTGTACATCGTTCACTATACATATACTGTACCGTAAAAATACAAATATGTATATGATTATTATAGAATAATTATAAAACCGAAATTATTGTATTAAATATACTTTATATTTTATATTTTTTTAAATACGTATTTATTAAAAGGATTATATAGAATACTGAAAAGTCGTCCTTTTAAATATAAACTCACGATACGTATGGTTTTGTCTCTAACACTTATTCGAATCCTCGTTCGAATCATTTGAATAAATCAAATAAAAACACAGAACAGATGCTTCACTTTGCGCAAGTTGCATATAACATAAAAATGTAAGACACTCACCTCATCAATTTTTTCGTTGTTGCCCGATGCCTGCTGGGCCCCCTCGTCCTCTCAGATTTCCTTGTTGCACTTACACAACACTCACTCGCAAAAATGATCGATCGCGCGAAATTTCGGGCACTCCCGTACGCGATGTGAAATACCGCAAAACGCACGAAATATTATTAACAAATCTCGCGTGACTTTCTGTCACACAAATTACTCAAACTAACACCTTGCGTTTTTAATTCGGAAGAATGGATAAATCACTTTTGAATTGGCGATATAAAACGCAACGCGAGCATCGGAAGCATAATCTGAGGTAAAGTAGTTATTAGTCCGCAACGAAACGATATTTTACAATCTTTGTCATTCGATCTAATCCTCGAAACAGATTACGCGAAATCGACAGATAATTAAAAGCGCGGTGCGTAAACGAGATGTAACCGCGACAAAGTACCACGGTTTACACTCATATTTTAGATGAGTTAGTCTCATGAAATATCTATGTATACGTTGATAAAGAACCGTCGCCTCAACATGCAATTCGTTTCTCGTTACAAGTTGTAGAAACTTAGTAATTAATCAAGGAACGTTACTTGTTACTAATAGAGGTGTGCCAATCAATAGTGTTTTATCCCTGCATTCCTCGTGATCGAGTCTTGGAAACCGATAACGCAAAAGTAATACGACGCACGGAGCGACTCTCGCTGCTGCCTGTCGGCTCGACGTTCGGCGAGCGAGTGAGTGCGTGGCGACCTACAGGTAAACTTTGGCCCGCGTAACGTCGTACGATACCGCGCCGAGTGAAAAACAACAAAAAAACGTTGAGAATTCGTTGGCCCGCTTAATCATCGTACGATACCGCGCCGAGTGAAAAACAACAAAAAACCGTTGAGAATTCGGCCTGCCTACGCAATGGAAAATTCTGTACTTAATATTTTATTGTACATTACTTTGTTCCGTGACTGTTGCTACGTTTTGCGTATCATTCTGCGGACTTATTGTACCGATTAAATAAACGATTAATTCTGTTCAATGTCGAGAAAATGTATCGGAACAAAAGTCGTTGTTACTTAAATTCTAATTACTAAGATTAGAGATTTTACCTCAATAGTTGGTGTATACAAATGTATATTTCTAAATTGCAAATCTTCATTTACTATGAATCTAAAAGAGAAGCTCACCGTGCTTCGAGAAACCAATCGGCATCGCGAAAAAGAGACCTCAACTGTTCGATATTAACGACATTCGCGCTATTAACATCTCTTTTTTAGAAAGGGATGGATGAAATTAAACAATTAATCATTTTTTGAAAAATTTTCGAAAAACTAATCGCGAAAACCGACCGCGAAAATACGAGGATGTGTGTAACTTCGCCTTCAGAAAGAATTTCTGTTACCGAGACAAAAATATTCTTGACTCATTTATATTTCTCACAACCACAATTAGTATAAAAATAAGACAATATCAAAATAAAATCAATAATTCTTATTTTCCTCTGTCGAATTAAAAAAGATTAGTATATTGAGACAAGAGTAACTTATATACATAAATGTAAATTTATATATTCTTGCATTTAGAATAAATTTTCCCTTCATCTTACAACACTCGAAGTTGGCATTACGATATTCGATAAAAGACGATCATTTTATTTTGAATTTTATAATTTTCCATTTAAGATTAAAATATTCCTTTCTCTATAATAAATATGATTGGCTCTATATCGATCCTATTTTATGATACATTAAAGTGTAATAGCATTGGGTCCGGAAATTTTTTCTGTGGGTGTATGTATGTATTCATACGAGACGCATCTTGAAAGTGTATCGCGAGATACACAATTACAGAATAAATGACGCGAGATCCAGAGAAAAGAAATTTTCCGTACGTTAGATAGACAAACAATTGAATATTCTGGTTAATCAATAATCTGAAATTATGTGTGAAAATATAAAGTTTCAGCGTTCCCAACCTTGCTATTATTATAACGTAAAGATAGAGACTAGTCTCTCTCTCTTAGTTTTGCAACCTTTTCATATTGCCTGTTATATCTTTTGCGACCATTTTTATCTTTTGCTAATAAAATATTTAAGAGAATAAATATAGAATTAAATTGAAACTAAATTTAAACGAACAGCGATTCAGTGTAGCAATAACGATTGTATCGATTATATCTTGAAGTTAAAAGAAAATAATTTTATCAGGAAAATAAGTTTTAATACATCAAGCGTTCTTATAATAGTTAGGAAAAGTCGAGAAAGATTACCGAGAATATAAACATGTAATTATTTTAATACATAATATATTATTATTTTAATGCATTGCATATAATAAAACTTGCTACAAATCATTACGATTCGGCAATTACATATACGTCTCACATTTGTTTTTCGAATTTGAAAAAAATTCTGTAGCTAATATTATTACAATTAGTCTGATGTATCGGTAGCTATCTCCTTCATATCTTGATAAGATAATTACATAGAAAACCGTTCTAGACGTGGTACAGGCAAGGATTTGATAAGTTAGAACCCTCGTCTAGTTATCTTCAGTGAAACCAAAACCGTCGATAATATAATGTTCTTCAATTGTATCGAGGTTCCTCTGGTCGCTTTTATTTTATAATTATTGAAAAAGTATATCAAAAAGCTGATCACCTTTAATATCTCATCGCTAAGATTGAAACCAGTGGCGAAAATAATGACAGATAATGTATTCGAGAAGAGAATCGTGATAAGCGCGACATCAAGTGACAAGAGCTCAAACTTTCATATTTCTTCATCCGTGTCGGTTATACAATATCTTTATGTTGCATCTAAAACAACGGGGCTCGCTTTTTGTAATTCACGATCAAATCAAGTATCATCCACGTCTATTGTTATAATAAGCGGAAGGCAGGTTAAATTTTTTCGAAGTGTTTATTTATTTCAATCTATAAGGAGCGTGTTCTTTAAATAAAGGATTTATGCAATCCGTTACGTAAACTTGTTACGTTAATTATCACGTGAACTTTTTGCGCTTTAGTCGCAGGTGTTCGCGCATCGCTGGCGCGAGAGAAAGGGGGGAAAAAATTGACGATCACGAGGAACGAGAGCGTCAGCCACGCGATGCGGCCTAAGCGGGGTGAAATGCACCCTTTACGAAACAAGCAGCGCGCGCGTAAAGTCATTGCACCAGGGCAAAATCGGACAATACCGATAGCTCGTATATCGTACGCGAAAGGAAACGACCGATGTTCTGTACGAAAGAAAAGTGCGTATCGATAAGCATAAACGCGTCGCTTTCAAAATGAAGTCCACGTTAACTGGCCAACGATAGTTTCCAGACTTAGCTTAATTACGCGAAGCAGTCGCGCGAGATAAATGGAAAGCGAGACTTGCGGACGACAAGGTGCATCGAATAATATCGATGTACCGCGAGCGTCTGCAGAACGGGGCGGCTCCGCCGGTTCTACGGCGCGTCGCGGCGCGGCGCGGAAAAGCTCGCGGCGAATTTAGTGCCGCGGCGGGGTGCGCGAGGCGGCCGCGGAGCGCACGGAACGGAACGGAACGGCCGACTCCCAATCAATACGCCCGTCGCTGGCGCGAACGCGACGGACGGACGGCGGCGGCGGCGGCGGCGGCGGCGGCGGAGGCCGCGCGCGCTCCGGCTCCACGCCACATCCGCGCAGCTGGAGTTTTCAGTCGGACGCACGCTCGCGTCTCGCAAGCTCGTGCGTCGGTACCCGCGCGCGGAGGCGCACGTCCACCCGCACGTAAAAGCGCGCACCCCCGGCCCGGCGGCGCGGGGATCGCACCCTGAAAGGTGGAGTAGCGTCCCTGCGGGGCGGCAAAATGGCGGCCGCGGTAAGAAACAAATGATCGGGGTTGGCGAACAGCGGTGCTGAGGGACACGCGCGCCAGACAACCCTCGGCGGTCGCGCGACCACCTTCCGATCCAGCCGGTGCCACCCGATCGCGCGACCGGGGCGTGATATCCGAGGCGCTGGGCGACGCCGCCGCCGCCGCCGCGCGGGTATAGAGGAATCGCGCGGCGAGCGCGGCGCGCGTTCCACCCCTCTTCCGAGGGACGCGGCGCCCTCGGAGGAGGATCGCGCCCCCGATTTTTCCGAGTCGCACACGAGGGGCTCTCGTCGCGGTACGCTGGTCGCGTGCGGGCCCCGGCTTGACGTGCCGAGGGTGCGATTCGATTATCGATCACGGATCCGCGAGGGAGCAGCGCGCGCGGCGCGAGAATGCCCGCGGAGGAAGCGACGTGGAATCCGGCCGCGGAGTCGGGACTGCGGGAAACGGTGCCGGTTCGATAGATTGATGGACCTGCCGACGAGAATCCGATCGCGTCCGCCACCATGCATCTGCACTTCGAGAAGAACAGCAACGCCAAGTGCGACTGCAATATCTTGTCGCTCAGCTGGATGGGGAAAGTGCCGGACGAGTCGCCGGAGGTAAAGATTCTCTTTCGCTGAATCCGGGGTAGGCGCGATCGCACGATAACGCGGCTGTCGCCAGCACGTGGCTGAAATCGCCACGACGATCCCGTAATACATCGCTGCACCTGTTATCCCTTTGCAGTTATCGCCGCTCCGTTACCGTTTCTTCGCCCCTTCGCCGCGTGGAGAAGCCATTCTCGTCGGCACGCTGATCAATATGCAATGTCAAAAAAAAATTCTCCGAAGGCTAAATCGTTACGAAAAAGAGGTCAATCCCGATTCGACCATTTCCATGCGCGTTGGATTCCATCCGAGAATCAACGCTCGTCCCCACGTTTGATCGAGCGAATGCAAGAGCTAAAAATACATTTTATCGCGCGCATTTGGTATTCCGCAAGTCGTAAGATAAAACGGATCGCTCGTCACGTAACAATCAGTTAATAACACGGATGGATTTTGTTAGCGCGAGAGATGCAACGTAGACGAGAGAAAGGCGACGCTATTGTCGCACAATACACGCGGCAGATAACAAGTCTCTCCTCGCGAGTCACCGAATAGTAGATTTTACACGTTAACGCCTCGCATCGATGGACTCTGGATCTGAAAGCGAACGCTTTAGGCCGCGGGCTGTTTCGATCTCGAGCTCCTCTCCAGCGAATTTTTAGACTCCGTCGGGATTGTCCGCGGCTATTTTTGTATAACTTCCCTCACTGACGCTGCTTCCTCCTCGAAGGAACTCTAATTTCAGAAGACATTTACGTATCTGCATTTGTAAAAGATCTGCCGTGAAAACAAAAAGCATCGCTCGAGCTTGAAATGTCAGTTTAATCGTTTGACGACAATCCCCATTTTGCACGACGCGCCGCGAGGGAGGCGATTTATAGGTTTCGAACTTGAGAAAAGGTAGGAACAAGTTGTGTGGGCGGGAGATTGAAAACGTTAACGGGAGCAGCCGGCGCGCTGCAGTAAAACAGTATATGGACGTGGAATAAAAACGAAGCTGCCACACTTTGACACGTATACCTCGACCGCTGTCGCACTTCGCGGCGCGGACGACAGCAGATAAAACTTCCGCTGCGAGCGAGCGGGCGCGGATCGCGCCGCGTAACGAGCGTGAAATTAATTTATCCCGTCTCACGTGAGATCACCGGAGCAGTCGAGTCGAGTTTGCACGACCGGTTCGAGCAAACACAAGGAATATAGAGGACTCAAGGCCAAGACAGGATGTCGGTGTCTAAATAATTTATTTGGAATCTATTGCGAAAAATATGACCACAGCTGGGGTTTGAATCTGGACCTCCACAGCCACAGACCTCTGTGTACTACTGGACTGCTACCTTTCAGCTGAGAAGTGAGGCAAGAGTTTCGCTATCTGTGTCGGCGATGCGCCGAAGCACGCATACTACTTTATTTACTTAACAAGACATGGCGGAACACTTGCCTCACTTTTCAGCTCGAAGGTAGCAGTCTAGTAGTACGACCTTGCGATACAGATCAGTCGATATAGAAGTCTGTGCTCCCTACTCACTAGGCGGGCGT